ATCTTCTAATTTCATATTTTTGTTAACATCATGTTCTGATTTTTAATGTTAAAACCTGTTTACAATACCACATTTCCCCATTAATGTTTCTACCTCCTTCTAGTGTATCTTCCAAAATTAACACCAAATCATCCACAAAGGCCCTTGTTTGATAAATTTAATTTTAAATCTTAAGTCTCATGATTATCTCGTCTTATAGCTCTATTCAATACCTCAAGAACTAAAATGAACAAAATTTTAGAACACGCAGACATCAGTGCTTTGTTCATTTTTGACTCTCACAGAGTTTTGTTAATTCTCCATTAACAATTGTTTGTGCTTTCTGAGTAATACGATCTTACCAATTTAATAAAATTATCTCCAAGGTTCATATCTTCCAGATCTGTAAACAAGAAAATCCAATTCAAATTATAAAAGACCTTCTCTGCATCTAAGAGTATCAGTGCAGCTTGTTTTTTATTATGTACTTTCAGTTCTCTAGAACATCCAAAACATTTCTAATAATCGTCTTTTAGATAAAAACCTGAATTGATCTTCATAATTAAAGTCCTGTAAAATTATCTCCAATCTTTCAGCCAAAATTGTGAATAAATTATCTTTACTGAATAATGACTATAAATTGTTTATATTCATTATCCAATAAAGACATTGGTCAATATTTTTTTACTAAAGTCAGTCTTGTGTCTCTCTAGATTTTATGCTGTATTAGCCTCTTTCCAGCTACAGTATTAGGAATCTTTCCATTCTGTAGGATAATATTGTTTGTTGTAAAAACTAAAAGCTCATCCCCAAAACAGCTTTACTAAGACATTGGAAACCCATCTGAATCAGGTGTCTTTCCTCTTTTAGTTTTATTAATAACTTCAGTCCCCTTATTATATGTCCATTGAAATATTTGATTCTCGTAATCTTCACTAAATTATTCTTCCACTTTTTCCAATGAAATTTCTGTTCCTTTATATAGGTAAAGGTTCCCCTTGCACATATGTGCTAGTTGTTCCTGACTCTAGGAGGCGGTGTTTATTCTGTTTCAAAGCCAAAGAGCGGAGTCAGGATCCCACGTGTCCCCAGCTGGGAAGCCCTCACTACAGGGGAGCTTTGGGGAAGAGGGAGTATACCCCCCACCTTGTTAGTGGCTGGCATACTTACACTTGCCCAGGCCTTGATGTGGCAAGAAGTTTGGCTGGTTGCTAAGATAGGGCTTCTGTGCAAACTGCTTTGCCACCCCCCCTTCTTTAAGGAGACTGCTGGGAGGAGAGGGGAAGAGTGGGACTTATCAGCACCCCCAGAAAATTCCCATGTCTCAGTAGGAAGGGGGGGGCTCCCTGGACTCAGAGACAAAGAAGGTGAGGTGAAGGCCTGCTCCACTCACCCCTTTGCACTTGAAAGGGGAGGGGGGATGGGAGCCCTTTGGCTCAACTTCTTTTGGCCTCTGCCTCACCACCTCCCCAGCCCCCCTCCATCTGGAAGTGGTACTGCCAGGCCTGGCAGGGGCCGGCAGTCTCTCACTGACCAAGGATTGAGACTGACCGCTGGGAGGGAGGGAGCAAATGTGGGCCCCCAGGCAGGGGTGAAATCCAGCAGGTTCTGACAGGTTCTGGAGAACTGGTAGCAGAAATTTTGAGTAGTTCAGAGAACCGGCAAATACGGATTTTGCAATATCCTTCCCCCAGGAGTGGGGAGGCAATGGGGATTTTGCAGTATCCTTCTCCTGGAGTGGGGTAGGAATGGAGATTTTGCAGTATCCTTCCCATGCCATGCCCACCAAGCCACGCCCACAGAACCGGTAGTAAAAAAAATTGGATTTCCCCACTGGCCTCAGGGCTGTGTTCCAACGGACCTTCCCCTCCCTCTGCAGGGCCAGATGGGAAAAGGGTGGCCCGACTTCTAGGGAAGTGGGTGGCCTTCGCCTCCTCTGTCCCCTCCGGCCTGCCCCTTTCCTTTCAGAACAGCAGGGCAGGTTCCAGCTGCTGGTTTCTGCACCCCGACGCAGAGCTGCGACTGGACCGGACCACCCGCAGATGGGGCTGGACGGCGGGCTCTGCAGCCGGTTGCCTCAGAGGTCAAGGACTGTTGGGGACCTTCCCTCCGTGAGCGTGGCCCAGCGCCCCACGCGGCGCCTGGAGCAGAGCCACCGCTGAGCTTTCCTTGGCTGAGGCCGAAGCTTTCGGCCGGCTGCGATGTCCCGTTATCCGGCCGGGTCCGGAAGGAGGGCGGGGGCGAGCGAGTGGGGCAAGGGGGTCGGCGCCGGCAAGAGCTAGGACAGAAATCCGGGTTGCCGGAAGCCGAGGGGGGGCGGCTCCGCTCATCCCGTCGCTCCTGGCTCTTTTCGCCTGCTTGGCTCGCTGGGCATCGCTCCTGGCGGCGAGAGCAAAGCCCCCAGCCAGGCACAGCTGCGGCCAGCGAGGGCTCCGAAGGGCAGAAGCCGGAAGAGCCGTCGGCGGGGCAGGCACGTGGCCTGGAAGCAGGCCAGCAGGGAGCGGAAGGGGGTCCCGGTCGGACCGAAGGCTGGATGGGCAACGGGAAGGACTCGCGGGTCTGCCTTGGCCCCTCCCTCCCTGTCCAAGTCTGGTGCAGACAATTAAGGCATCCTAAGTTTTCTCGGTGCTTGTGGTGCCGAATATGGCCGCCCCAGCAGTTGGGATGCTCCGAGAGTTGCAGGCGAACCCCCCCTCTCCCCCGTAGGTGAGCAGTTTTGGGCGCCAGTTTACTTCCAGGTCCGATTCGAAGGGTTAGTCCCGACTTTTCTACCCCTTCATGGCATGTGGAACCGGCTGGTCCCAATTTCATCTTCTGGTCCCACCGGGGCAGGCAGGGAGGGCATGTAACAGACCCGCTTGGTTAAAAAGCATGGACTGGCAGAGGGTAGGAAAGGATCTTTCTCAACTCCCACTCCTGCGCTATGGACTGGCTGCCCACCCGCTTCTGAAGAGCATTGAGATCTGGCTCTGCCAACTGGCCTGGGGTTCAAAAGTGCTATGCAACCCTGGGTGGGAGATGTTGGTGGGCTGAAGGTGCTTTCTCTGCCTTTTTAAAGTTGCAATTGTCTCTTTTAGATTTGTTTCAATCTAGTTTTTAACTTGTTTTGAAAAATGGGTTTGTATTGTTTTATTTGTAAACCACTCACAGGCACACGTGTGGTAGGCAGTATAGAAATTTGGTAAAATACTATAAAGCCACAGTATTAAAGCCACTTAGAACAATTCTGCCAGGAAGATGACACACAAGAAAGCAAATTCCTTAGCAGCTGCTGATTTGTGTAACTTTTTGCAGAAAATGCAATTGCGTAAATAAACTCTTGTACAAATAATTAAAAAACAGAATAGCTAAATTGGGTTCCCTTCAAATATGTGTGAGAGGAACAGCCGCTTCTGGACTGGGGGTTCCCTGCAGGCTTCCGAGAAGCCTGCTGCCCAGCCTTAACAGCCCAGGGTACTGGCTCCTGGACGGTGGTTGGGAAGCCCCCTTGGCCACTCTGCTTGTCCCCTAGAGTCTGCCCCATCTGGGCAGAGAGGTTTTGCTGCACCGGGTTCCCCACTTGGCAAGGGGTGCCCTGGCAGAGAGCAGAAGCCCTTGATTGAGTGAGAGTGGCAGGCCTGTAATGGGAGGGGATGGTTGGCGGTGGGGGTGGAGGTTGGGGGCAGCCCAGGGACGCTAACCCTGCAGTTGGTGCCATTCCAGCTGAAGTGAATCTCTCAGGCTCGAGGGTGAACTGTGGGGTTGACTTGCAGAGGTTTCATTACCCAGCTAGGTGACATTGCCAGGCTTTAATGTAATTAGAAGGAGCAGCAACACCGAGGATAAGAACCAAACTTTATTCGACCGTTGGCTGCCTGCTCTCCAAGAGGGAGGGGCCCCACAGAGCAGAGACTCTGACAGCCCTTGAGGTGGAGAGGAGGGAAACCTTCAGGCTCTGATTCCCAAACGGATTTTGGGGGAAGTAAAGTCTGTATTAAAGGGGGGGGGGGAAGTCAGAGACAGAGGCAGTCTGAGCTCTGATGCTGTGCAAGGCCTGCCTGGGGCAAATTTCTCACCCTCCTCACAAAGACTCCCCTCCCCCCCACCTGTCCACAGACAAATCTTTAGGTGGAGATGTGAGCCTTTTGGTTTTGCCCTGGGAGGAATAAAGGGGCTTTTCATGATTGCTCTTGGGTCACTCCTTTTTTATTTGTTTGTTTGTTTGTTTGTTTATTGGCATTTGACAAACAAAAATGAGAACAAGAATAAGAGAGTACACGGATGATAGGCATGTTAGTGCACTTATGCACGTCCCCTCTACTGACCACTTAAGTAGGAAGTAAGGTCCACAGAAATCAATTTGTGACTGAAACTGAAAATTTGTAGCTGAGAACTGAATCAGGTTGGGCATTCCAGACTTTGACAACTCTATTACAGAAATCGTATTTTTTACAGTCAAGTTCAGAATGATTTACACTGTGTTTAAAGCGGTTGTTCGTGCACCTATTATTGCGATTAAAACAAAAAAAGTCATTTACAGGTGAATCATTACTATGTATAATTTTGTATGCGATACCTAGGTCTGACCACAAGTGACGCAGTTCTAAGTTATCCAAACGGAGAATTTCAAGCCTAGTACCATAAGGAATTCTATTGTGTACAGAAGAGTGCAAGACTTTTCTCGTGAAGTACTTCTGAACCCGCTCGATTGTACTGATGTCAGATATATATTGGGGATTCCGAACTGTTGAACAATACTCTAAAATTGGTCTAGCATATGTTTTATAAGCTCTAATTAGCAATACAATGTTTCCATAAAAAAAGTTTTGCAAAATTAAGTTTACAACTCTTTAATGCTTTTTTAGCAACGCTGTTACAATGAGCTTTGGAGCATAAATCATCAGAGATAAATACACCTAGGTCCTTAACAAAGTGAGGGTCATCTGCTAGATCAAAGCCACCTAGCTTATACTTGACATTCTGATTACATTTACCAATATGTAAAACAGAGCATTTATTAATCAAAATTTGAAGTTGCCAAATAGATGACCATTCAGACACATAGTTGAGATCACTTTGCAAAACAACAGAATTATTTTACATATGCGAGTGACAGGGTGGGGTGGGGGAACCAGAGCTGCAGAGGGAGGGGGAGAGTTTGTAGCTTATTTCCTCATTTCTTCCATTCCTGCCAAGAGCTCCAAGATGAGTTGATCAAAGGGTCCTGGCAGCGGATCTGCGCCTTGTACCAGTTCTGTTCTGTGATCAGCTCCTTCTCATCCTGCAACAGAAAGAGGGCCCTGCTGAACTGGGAGAAGGGGGGCAGGGACAGGGACCTATGGGCCTACCCAGCAAGGTCGGTTGCCCTCATTTCCTTTGATCTGGAGGGGGCATCTGTGTCCATTGTTGGGCACAATATAAGGAAGATTCCGCTTCCTTAGGCAGCCGGGTGAATGACACGTCCGTGGAATGAGCTGCAGCAGCTCAAGAGAGCATCCCCATGCAATGGCAATATACTAGCATGAGTTTGAGTCAGTTGAACATTTTGTGATTCTGAGAGGCTTTTTGTGCACTTGAAGAAATCCAGAACAGCCTCTCGATGTGATGAATGATATGCCCAGAAGGTTTTTTAGTTTTATTGGGTATTTTTAAGAGGAAGGATTGGACTGTATGTGTTTTATTGTTGTGAGCCGCCCTGAGTCCTTTTGGAGATAGGGTGGCATATAAGTCCAATAAATAAATAAATAAATAAATAAATAAATACTTACGAGGAGGAAGTTCTCCTGGCTGCCAGAAGCTGACTCCAGCCGAAGGCTGTACTGCAAGGGGAAGTAGGTGGTGGGTAGGTCCCAGGAGGCCGGGGGAGCCCAGGACACCTTCCTCCCTGTGATATTCAGGTAGGCAGGAGCATCTGGTTTCACTGCAAGGAGAGCAGGGGCCCCATTAGACCTCGTCCACCCGGCTCCCCTCACCCCTCCCTCCAGAGGCCCAAGACCAAGGATGAAAAAGCCAGCCTGGAAGGAGCCCCCCTCTTCTTCCCTTCAAAGAAACAAAGAAACTTTGATTGAGGTCAGGTGGCTCAGCTCTTCTACCCCTCCCCAAATTTTCCTTCCTAAGGCAGGGGGTAGGAGATGGCAGAAGATGCTCTGCCCAAGTGGACATTGATGGAAGGTGAGGCCTATATTTGCTAGCTCCCTGCAATGTCCCCTGGCTCACAGGTCACTCGTGAGCTGGTGGGGGAGCCTGGCAAAGACCCTCTCATCTGCAGGAGCAGAAGGGAGGTGGGGGGAGACAGGACATGGACAGATGCAAGGACTGGAGGGCTCAGACTGCTGGGTTGGGCCTTCCAAGGTTCGGGATGGGGTCCTGCGTGAGAAGGGGGGGAGGCTGTTGCCATCCATACCGACATCCCATAAGAGGAATGTCTTGTTCACTTCGTTGTAGCCACCACCATCTTCAGAAAGCCCCTTCAGCACCAGGATGACGGGCATTTCTTCAGCGTAAGAACAGAAGGAACAATTATTTAACTGGATCTGCACCATTCTGTTCCCGGGGAGAACCACTTCTGTGGAGCACAGCTCAGCCTCTGTGTCTCTGCAAAGAGAAGGTAAAAGTGGGGCCCTCGCTGGCTGCAGCAGGAGTGGATAGAGGCTCTCCACATTCTCAGAGACCTCCTTTTCCTCACTATGATGCTCAATGCCCAATGCAAAGAGAAAGGAGGGCCGGGGCTACTAACCTGTGTTTCAGGTGGACCAGAAAAGTCGCCGGGTTCTGAGACTTCCAGGAACAGTTCAAGGTGCCGCTGTATGATGGAGCCCAGCAGGTAATGGCGGGTTCTTTCTTTGTTCCTGCAAAAACCGGGTGAAAGAATTCAAGGCAAGTCCAGGCCCTTCTGCTTCCAGCAGCCCACGGGGCATCTCCCACCTACAGGGGTGCCCCGAGAATCTGAATTTGGAGCAAGAAAGGCGCCTGCACCAGGGCCCAGCCGAAAGAGAATGCTTTAGTCCTGAAAGAACTGTTGCTCGTCCTGCCACCATATGTGCCCAGCTGGAAGAGACCTCCCATCCCATCCTTTCCGGGCGGCAACTCCTGTCCTCCCTGGGGGGGGGGGGCTGGCGACATAGCCTCCCCCCTTGTGTTTCCTACAAGCAAAGATGGAGGCACTCCTCAGGCTTTCTGGGATATTTAGGATGGGTTAGCGGAAGGGGCCCAGGGTGGAGGGGCAGAAGAGCAGCCCAGGCCTGCCCCTCCCTTTGAAGGCCATTCTAGAAAGCTGGTGGGAAAATGGGGCAGAGAGCAAGGCTGGGATCTAGCTGGGGCTCTCCGCATGAGCCCCCCCAAGGGATTCTTGCCTTCCCTTCCCTGCTCACCTTCTGCCTTGAAGAAGTAGCTATGATTCAACCACATGACCACATAGAAGCTGTGGAGCAGCCGGGGTCCGGCCCAGCAGGAATAGTTTCCGGCATAAGGGATGTCCAGGTTGTTAATGACAAGCTCTCCGCCCGAGTCCTCCAGCGTCTGGCCATTCTGTTTCCACTCCACTTGTTCTCCAGGGGAACCGAAGCAGTTCCGGGTTATGTTGGCATCTTCGTTCTTAATCAGCACTGAGGGCAAAACCCCAGACTGGAGACTCAGTGGGGCCGGAAGAGGCCCTGCCAGGCTGGCCTGCTTTTAACCCTGAAGCTGTTTCAGAGCTGAGCATTCAGGGCAATTATTGTGGCCAGATATTTTTTCTGGGGGGCTCCACCCCAGCTCCAAATTTTGGGGTGCACGGGCTTTGTGAGGAAAGCCTACTGTTTTCCAGAGCAGCAGAGGATAGGATGCTACCACCAGAAGCCTCAGGGCACATCTCGGCACCTCTTGTGCAATTCGCAGTGTGCTGTCTTCACTCCATGTGGGGGGGGGGGAGGGGGCTTGGCTGCTCTCTTGTCCTTCCAGAAAAGCCCTCCCCAGACTCTGTGCTTCTTCCCTGGGTGGGGGAAGCGGAGCCTTCCTTGCCTGCTGTCTTTTTGTGGCAGTTGTGCGAAAGAAGTGGGGAGGGCTGGCTCTGCCATCTGCCCACTTCCTGATTTCTGCCCCTCTCCCTGGCATATCTAACCCCCCAACCCTCCTGTACCTACGGCTCTGATTTCTTAGTTGCTCATCTTCACTACCAGAACTGCAACACTCATTATGTTCTGGCAGAAATGGCAAATTTTCCTTCAAGGAAACAAAGGCAGAAACTTGGAGGCCGGGTGGCTCTGCTCTTCTGCCCCTTTTTGCCTATACATGGATGACTTTTTTTCTCTGCCAGAAATTTCCCACCACTTCTGGGGCAACTAATGCTGGCTTTTCCATTCAGGTTGGGGCGGTGGGGGGGAGACCCCTGAAATTTGGGACAACTCTGGGGAGTGTGTTTTGGGCACAGCCACCTGCAATGACCCGAGATATCTGGCTCCTGGCCCCCTCTGGGGAAAAACTGGCAAACCAGGCACTTACGTGAGGAGGGAAAAGCAGCCGTGGCCTCCATCACCACAGCCACCAAAGCTACCCACTTTCCCAGCAGCATCTGTGCGAGGCGAGGCAAAGGGAGGCCTGTGGGAGACTGGCCTGGCTGGGGAAGAGGAAGGCGAGAGGTTCTGCTGTGAGGTCACGTTTGGGAAGCCCCCCTGGCTCTAACCCAGCCCCTTCCTTGAGCATCACCCCCAAGCCTGGAACTGGGCTGGGTTGGTTGTGCTAGGGGCAGAGGCCCCAAGCTAGCTGGGGGACCTGGGCCCCTTCCTCCCTCTCAGCCTTAGGCAAGGGGAGGCCAGGCAAACCCTGGCTAAAAATCTTGCCAAGAAAATTGCAGGGAGAGTTCAGGCGGGGGGGGGGGAAAGGTTGAAATCTCTGAAGACGCCCTGCCAGCAGCCAAGGCCACCAGCAGAGGGGTCTATGAGCCCCCAGGGCCCCTGCTTCCCTTTCTGACATGGAGTTGGCTGCTCATCCTCCCCCAGAGCACTTACCTCTCTGTGGGTCCTTCGGTCCTCTGAGAGGAAGGCTGGAGGAGGGCTGACCTAATATACCATTTCTGATGTGGGGGGAGGAAACCTCTGACACAGGAGGAGGGGGCGGGTAAGGGAGGGAGAAGCTGTCAGGGCATCCCCCGCCCCGGGACTCTCCCTTGCAGAGAGGGAGCTGCTATGGACAAGGCAGCCTCTTCCTGGCCCCACTGACAATTGGGCTTGGAGTGATGCCAGAGGGGACTCCCCACAGCAGGAGCCCTGGGTTTGGGCTGGAGTAAAATGAAGGTCCTTCCCTTTCCAGCAGCCCAGGAAGTCCTGAGCCAGGACAGCCCGCTTACAAGCAAGGTCTGGACTGCCTGCAGTTGGTGAAAGACCCAGCCAAAGGTGGGCACCCACATGGGCCTCTTCCGGGTTTCTCTGTGGATTCTGGCCAGGTTCTTCTGGGTTATTTGATGAGCTTCTCCGAGGACCTCAGAATAGAAGGGCTGGAAAGGATCCTGGATCATCCAGCCCTGCGGAGAAATTCTTGGCTTCACTGCATAGCATCCCCCAGGGACAAATGCTCCCCCCTCCCATGTTTGGAGTACCTCCAACCAAGAAGCGTCCACTGACTCCCAGGGCAGCCTCTTCCGGTCTTGAAGAACCTGACCCTTAGGAGAATTTTGCTGATACCTGACCAACTTAGCCCTGTTCCTTCTTGTCCTGCCTTCCAGAATGACTCTGACCTGCCTTCCACCTGTCCCCCTTCCGATGTTTGCGGCTGACTGTTATGTGCCCAAGCAGATGGCTCTTCTCCAGGCTGGGCATACATGCTGCCTCCAGCAGGTCCTAGTGAGCTGCTCTTTCCCAGCTCTGATCTTCTTTGGATCCTCCACATCCTTGTCCTTCCTAAATGCAACACCCAGAATCCGGACAAAATATTCTAGGCGTGGTCTGACCAGTGCAGAATAGAAAAGGAACTATGATCTCTGATAAGCTTGGCAGTCGACCTCCCTTGATGCAGCCGGGTTGGCTCATGTTCAGCGCATGGTCCACTAAGACTCCCTGACCTTTCGCAACATTTCTTGTGGCTCCACTATGAATCTGGGGTCCATAGCCAAAGAGGGAGGCAGCCGGCCCCGTTCATACCTTTGGGCATCTGGCCCCATTGAGAAAGTGGAGAGAATCTGCCCGCAGGGTGGGCAAGGGGCTCTCTCTTTGAGCACGAGAAGCCCTCCAAGCTGAACTCTTCCCCTTAGCTCACAGGAGGGGTTAAAAGATGCTACACACAGATCCCGACTGGCCCAACCATGGCAGATCTCTCCCTTCTGATGACTGGTGCCCATGTCTGGTCTTACTTAGGAGCTTCAGCCCCAGATCTACAGGGAAAAGTTCAGCGGTTCAGAGCTGTGGATCAGCTCTTCAGCTGCCCCAGACACTGGCCTCCAGCCAGCAGAAGGAGCAGGCATTAAAACGGGCATTTTGCTCTTACTTTTCATTCCTTTCACTGAGCTTTCAAGTGGCTTCACAGTTCTTTGATTTCAAATGCCCGTGAAATGGAAAAAAATGATTAACCTGTCTATGCTTGTTTCCTTCTTGGGGCAGCAGCAGATGGACCCACTGTGATCTTCTCCAGACCTGGACCAACAGATAACTACCGGGTCAGGTTGTTGCAAGGAAGAGATGAGTCGGAAAGGATAAATAGTGGGGGGGAAGGGAGGAGTTCCCAGTTACAACTGCAGCAAGATGCAGCAACTGCTTTACTTCTGAGCCACCCCCTTCCTGCCCAGGCCCACTCTGTTCTGAAGGGAGAGATGGCAAAACGTCCATGGGGCAAGTACCTTAGTTGCCTTACCCCATTCCTTGTGCAAAGGCTGGGAGAAGCCGTGTCAGTCTGCAGGCCAAAGTCATGCCAGGATGCCATGAAAATCTGCCACCTTTCCGAACCTCAATCTTTGTTAAGTAACCTTGGCTCACTTGAGCAGGCTATAAACATGGATGACCCAGGCCTGCCTCAGATAAAGCAGAATCACAAGGAAATTGGTTGACACCTATTTTTCCTTTGACTGCAAAACACATTATGCAGGACACTAAGCCCAAAGGTGGATGAACACATTAGCTGTAAATAAGGATGGTCTCAAGTTACATCTTTAACAGCCCAGAGGGGTGGGTGGGTGCTGTCCCTGCACCTACGTCCGGGCCACAGAGGAGAAGTCACAGGATTTGTCCACCAACTTAAAAGACCAATCAGCCATCCCACAATGGAGCTGCCAAGATTGGTCCTGCCTAACCCCTGGGATACCACAGGTTGGAGGTTGGTGAAAAAGAGGAAGGATATTTTTTGGAAGGATTCTTACTCACTCTGGTTTGTGGGGGTGTAATAGAAAAAATATTCTTACCAGAACAAGTCAGAGTTTCCACGATAAGGCTAAGACACTGTCTTAAGTACCACCCCTGAAAGCGATGAGACACCAGCTGTGCTAGGTAAGGAGGAATTCCAGCAGGAAGTTGTTCATTTGCAAAGACCATAGAATTAGGTGCTGCTGTATATGACTGAGCCTGGGGATTCCAGACCCCTAGAATCAGCAAACATAAGCCAAGATAACTACAACCATCTTTAGGGTGCAGAGCAGAATGAGCTGGAAGACAGGGCAATAGCAGAGATGTTGCCCGACTCAGGGGCACAGGCTGTGCAAAAATTGGAAAGCAGCCTCTGGGTGTTCTGGCTATGCTATTCCCTGACTTCTGCAAAGCATGAGACAGCCATGAGAAAATGAGAGGACACGGCCCAACTATGCTGTGAGAGGAAACCGCCTTGCCGAGGCTCTGTGGAGATGTGGGTTGAGTGGCAAGGGTGACTTCCCCTCTTCTCAAGATGGCTGTGGGTCAAGGAGCCCTGGAAACTGGCTTGGGGCCTGTACAGGAGACAGCTTTGCAATAGCTATCTGAAAGAAGTGAGGTTTGTTTGCTGTTTAATGACTTGATTGTATTGTATGTTGCCTGGAGTGCCCGGAGCTGGGTGGCCTTATACGTTCGAAATTAAGGAAAAGACGGAAGACATGATTTATCAAAAGATGGGGCTCTCAAAGGATTCACTGAGCAAACACACAGGAGTCTGGCAGGAGGGCCAGGGGGAAGAGGCCAAGGGAACACCCTTTGTGGTGGGTCCATCAGCCGAGCCTGGAGAGAGGGAATTATTGCCCTCAGAGCCTATTTGCTTCCCTCCCTCAAGACAGAGGCTTCAACCTCTGGGCAGGGAAAGCAAGGAGAGGGAGGCCGGCTTGACTACCACCACTCCATCTATCATGGGAGGAGGGGAAGCTTGAATTGGAGATGGGGTGCTTACAGGGAGGCAAAGACAAAGCCAGTCAGAGGGCGCCGTGGAGAAGAGCTCAGGTTCCCTGGGCCTTCAGGAAGCGTGGAGGAAAAGCAGCTACAAGCATCAGGAGAAACTGGTCTCAGAGGGCCAGAGCAGTTGATGGTTGGCTGGATGGCCTTTCAAGAGAGGTCTGCTGCCTTCCAAATTTCAGAAGTCTGGTTGACAAAGAGACTGGAAGACACAACACAGCTTCGAAGCAACTATGAAGTGCTAGTAAGCACCTAAGTGAGGGAGCTGGAGCCACCTGTGCTACATTCTTCATTGAAGGACATTCTGCCTCCTAAAACACAGAATGCTGCAACTTGCTAAGCCGAGTTTTGGATTCTGAGCTAGACGATTTCTGCCAAGATTTGAAAAAAAAAAAAAAAAAAGAATGTGTTTGGAAGAGCCTGAGGAACCTGGCTGACATGTGTGTCAGAGAAGCCATCAAAGAACGGAAGCTCCTCCTTAGGAAGAAATGGACTTGAAAAAAAAAAAACTTGAAAAAAGGAGATAGACAGTTAAGCCTCCATGTCCTCCTAAAGAGCCAAAAGGAGGGACAACTTCACCTGCACACAGAGGTCACCTGTGGAATTTAGCTGCCAAAAGATGAAGCAGGAAGCACCAATCTGGCTGGCTGAACCAAGGGGGTGAGGTGAGGCGACTAAATCAACCTAAATGGTGGGCACTGTGGCTCACCAGTCCGGTTTGGGGGCAGCTGACTGGCCACTGCTGGACAAGGCTGTGGGCAGCTCCAGTTCAGCATTCTTCGGGTGTCTGCTGGCCCTTGCATTTCGGACTCCTTCCCAGCCATTCCTAAGCTGAGGCAGTGGAACCGCTGTGGTCTGCAGGGCCAGACTTCCTTGCTTGGGACAGATCTGAGAGCCTATGTACTCCCCCGGCTCTTGGCTTCTTCTGCCAGGAGGGGAAACTGTGGTAGGGATGGGGAACTCCACCCTGCCACTACCCTTTTCATTCGAATACCCACAGCCCACCCACCAGAGTGGATTTACAAAGCTTTGAGGGCCTGGTGTCACCTTAAAAATTCCAGCCTCCCTCCCTCTCTTCATGGAGGTTGGGGTGGGGTAGCTTTGACTGCCTTCTTGCAGCCACCAGGCCCATTCCCTGGCTACTGCTTCCCTTGTGTGCTGGCTCAGCTCTGTTCAGAAGTCCAAGGAGGGTGCCAGGGCCCCCCGAGGCTCCACACAAAGGCTTTGGAAGCCACGGAAGGAGTACTGCAAAGCCTCCCCCTGGAGCAAAGCTAGGGGAGACCCTGAAGCTTCACCGCAGCCTGCTTTCTTGGCCTACATGTCTAGCTGGCCCAGCAGAGAGGCAGCTTCCAGGGCCCAGGATGTGGGCACACAAGGGAGGCATGTTTTTGTCAGTCATTGGGCAGGCAGGACTTATGGCTGTCCCAAGAAGAGTGAGCACAGAGGAAATGTTCCTTTGGGGGGGGGATTGCATTCACCTGAACCTCTAACTCTTATGCTGCAGCCAGACCCATAACTCAAAAGAGGTAGCTCACACCATCTTACCCTTTCTATACCACCCTCTAAAGCCGTCCTTCTCTGGGTGCCAAGAGGGAACAAGGGAGGTGGTCCCGCTGGATGATTGCCGTGGGTGGGCAGGGAGTGTCTCCTCAGCCAATCGAGGGGTTTGGTGGGTTTGGTGAAGAACAAGGGGTTTCCCATATGACCTTTTACGGGATTTTTTTTTTGACCACCCCCTCCCGCCTTTCTCGAAATGCTTACGAACATTGACTCCTATCTGTGGTTTCTCGGCCACCCCCTCAAGGAAGTCCGGCCTCATGGAAAGCAGGCCTGTAGATAAGAGCTCCGGAGATAAGGGCTCCATGGGGTTGCCTTGGGGTTTCCTCAGCCAGGAGCTCCTCCAGTGGCCCACGACTGATGGTGGCATTTGGCTGAGGAAGTGCCGAGCCCAGTAGCGGCAGGCACCCCCATTGAAGGAAGGCAGAGATCCTGCCCCCCTCATGCCTGAGGGCCTCTCCTCCCCTTGGCACTGCCTGAGGGCAGCTGGCACCACCTGGGGCCTGCCAGGAAACGGATGCGCTCTGGCTTCTCAAGGGTGTTGTGAGACTCGCTTTGACAGCCTTGGTTCTGCCCGAGGCCTGGGCCAGGACAGGTCAGCCTCCACCAACCAGGCGGCCCCATTCGCTTGTGCTGGCCCAGGAGCGATGCTGACTGGCCAAGGGGCCACTTCTGGGGGTCCTTGCCCCACAGGGCAGCCTACTCAATGAAGGCCCCTGACTGCCCAGGTCTGGACTCCAGTGAGCTCTGAAATGGCCTCCCAGCAGGGCTGCTTCTGTCACAAGCGCTGTGTGCCCCAGGCCTGCCCACCCAAGACACCCGGGAGGGGGGAAGGGGCTGAGTAAGGGCAGCCGCCGCTGCTTCCTGTCCTTCCCCTTCACCTGATCCAGCAGGGGAACGCCAAATGCAAGATCGCTACATATTGTGTGGCAGAATGGAGTCCTTACACGCCCTGGGCATTTGGTTGGCATCCAGACCCTTCCCCAACCCCAGCAAGCCATGCAGGAAACTCTCCAGCCCTTCAAGTGGACCCATGGACGTTATTCCCACACAGGGTCCCAGGCAGTCCCCGGCCCACAGCCCGGTTCCCAGCCACTAGGCAATCCTGTGCCCCTTTCCTACTCCCCACCCAAATTTTGTCTTTCTAGCTGGCACTTTGATGGCCACCAGCCCCCCCTCCAGTCCCAAAGCCAGACCAGACCCACATTGGATGTGTAAAAGAATTTAATTCCTACAAGGAGGATTGTCTAGAGCAGCAGGGGAATGGAAGCCAGGCCCCACGGAGCCTGCTGGCCTTCGCCCTACAATTCCATAGACCCACTGTTCCCGAGTGGGGGTGGGGGGCACATGGAACGCTTTTGAGGCACATACAGAAAAGGCAAGAGCCCCAGTACCCCAGGCTCTCCCCCATTCACAAAACATTCCGGATACTCAGCAGGGACCCCCACTGAAGCTGAAACAAAGGGGGGGGAATATAAGCCCCCCCCCCACAAACCACTTCTAAGAAAAAGGGAAAGCATCCCTTTGGAGAATTTGGGGGGGGGGGACGGAACTGACAGGTTTTTCTCCTACTGAGCAGACATAGAAGTCTAGGGGGCCTCCAGGACCTACCACAACCCCCCACAAGCAGACAATTGGTGAGGTACCCCACTGCTTGCCAAGGCACCCAACTGAAGAGCAGGTGCCAAGGTGAATAAAGACAGCCCACCTGCCTTATGCCTCTGAGGAGTGAGCTTCCCCCCCCCCCCCAAAAAAGGCCATCAGATCCCAGAAGAGACCTGCTCGCATGGCCAGGCAGCAGTTCCACAGTCGACTGCCTCTGCCCATGTGGAAGCAGGCCCAGCCCCCCCTTCCCTCCCCAGCTAAGATGCGGTCCTGAAAGCAGCCTGGCTCCCCTGCCCTGTCCTCTCTTCTGCCCAGGAGCCTGGCAGGCACTCAGATGGCCTCAGTCGTGCCCTGGGGGAGACCTGGGCAGCCCAAAGCCTCCGGGCTCCTGCAGTGGCCACGAACTTGGCCACCTTCCCTTCTTCTGCCAGGATCACTGCAGCACACAGGCATCTCCCGCATCCTCAGCCGCTTTGGGGGTCTGGGGGTTCTCCCCTTGACCCGGGAGGGTGGTGTCCTCCGCCAGCTTCCCCCGCAGCTCCATCAGCAAGTCCCGGCTCTCGCTGGGTGGCAAATTGCTCAGGAAGTATTGGGGAGCCAGTTCAGCCACACTAGAGACAAGGAAAATGTGGAGCTGGCTGAGCATTGGCGCATGGGACAGAGACCCCAAAGACTGGTCAGGCTCCACCCCTTTGGGAGGGGAAGAGCAGAGAACGAACACACACACATGCACACACCCCTGCCCCCGGGGGATGCTTACAATTCAGGCGGGATCTCAGAGACAATCCTCAGGCAATTGTCCTGGGAGACAGTGAATTCGTGGTAGACCACCCAGGAGGGAGGCCGTGGGGGTGGGCGGCGCAGTCGGTAGCAGCAGCTGGGGGGCAGCTGGGCCAAGTGCTTGTGGGTCAGCAGCAAGTAGTTGCCTGAGCCGTCAATGTCCCGGGCGACCTGCACAAAGAGAAGAGGGGCAGCTCTCTCACCCACACTAGGAGGCAGAGCCCTCTCCACCCGAGAGGCCGTGGCATGGGGTCTCCATCGGACTGGCCAATGGCTGTCTGTCTCAGATCACAGCCCTGGCTATGCCTTGGCTCTCACCCTGCTGCTGTGCCTCGCAAGTCCCCACACCTGTTCCTCCCTCTGCTGGGACCAGCTCCTGCTTCAGGATCCCGCATGGGATCATGCTGGCCACATGCCTGAGAGGCGACCCCAAGATGCTGCAGTCTGACTCAGCCATCAGCCGGGCTGTGGTGGGGCAGGGGCCGGGGGCTCTACCTTGAGGAAGAAGCCGGTGAGGAGGGCTCGCTTCAGTTGCAGGATGTTGCTGTCGCTGCCAAAGGCCGGTGGGGAAACCGGCAGCTCAATCCGCTGCATCACATCCAAGAGCTCTGTCCGCACGGCTCCGGCTAGCTGCAGGGCTGCTTCGCTGACCGCGTGTTTCCGGCACCAGCTTTCTGGGTCACTCTCTAAAGCAAAGGGAGGAAGGGGGTGTGGGAAGTGCTTGCTGCTGGCCCTCTTCCCGCCCAGAGCCTCTGCATGGCACTCACGCTGATGGAACGCGTTGAAGACATTGATGAGCGTGAAGTGATCCCCGGCTGGATGGAGCAGAGCCTGCTGCCGCGCCACCACTGCATCCTCCCAGCGTGCCACCGGAGTCTGGAAACAGGGCCAGGCTGTAGGAAGGAAGAGCAGCAGAGCTCAGGAGACCCAGGAAGAGAGGCTGGACAACGGAGGTCTCGGCTCAGAGGCACCCAGGCCCGTACCAGTCAGCATGGCAGCCAGAGTCAGCATCTCCTCCACGCAGTCAAACTCACAGGAGGCCAGGAGGGCCTTGGCCAGTTGGGGATCCAAAGGGAACTCCGACATAATGATGCCCACCTCAGAGAGGTTCCCGTCATCGTCCAGGGCAGCCAGGTAGTCCAGGTCTTCCAAGGCCTGCATCAAAGACTCGGGGGCTGTTGGGGCAGGGAGAGGTGCCATCAACACCCCTCCCAATCAACAACTACAAAGCCACACACAACAGGCATCATAAAAATAGCACGCAGAGAACAGCCTAAAGCACACACTCTGCCAGAGAGAAGTTCTCTGAGGTCAGACTCCAGCACGAGCCCAAAAGCTTGGAAGGCAAAAATCCTGGACCTGGTGACTGACCCAGATTGGATCCTGCATCATTATCCTGGGACACATAGATTCACCTTCATTCAGAGGAGAGAGGTCCAACAAATGGCTGCTGCTGGCCTGGCAAGAGCAGACCCCATCCCCGCCAAATTCTGTCCGCACCTGGCCTGTCGAGGAAGTCACACTGGCCCACATCTGCAATGTCCAGCCTCTTGAGCAGTAGGATGGGGCGGCGAAGGTCAGCCTCCATGAGGTGAGTGGGGGAGACAGCCGGCAGCTTCTGCTTGAAGCAGGCCTCTGAATAGAGGCGCAAGCAGCTCCCTGTGGGTCAGGGCAGTTACTTGAGAGAGCCTGGGAAGCCCCCTCAGGCCTCTGCCAGAATAGCCACCACCCATGCCCAGCTGCTCACCTGGAGGAGTGCCAGCAGCCCTGAGCCGTCGGGCTTCTGCCTGCCTCTGGCTGATGGGGCGCAATTCCTGTGATACAGCCCTGATCCGGGGGTTGTAGACCTGTCCAGGAGAGAGCAGCCAGAGGCTGCTGGGCAAGAGGAGGTGAGGGAGAAGACCGGGGGGGGGGGGGTGGGGCAAGGGCAGCTGCCCCTTGTGGGCTACTGGGAAAGGGTTTCTGGAGGAACCACGGAATCCAGGAGGTGCACCCAGTGTTTACTGGCCTTCATTTCTTGTCCCATCCAAAGGGGAAAGGAATGCTCCACTTTGGTGGCCTGGGTGAAAGCCCATGAAATTTCCCATACAGACAAAAGGGGAGGATGCTATATGTGCGTGTGTGTCTGTTTGTACTTGCATGGGGCAGGGCACAGGTTCCTTTGCTAGTTGCTCTGCTGGCTCCACCTTCCAAAGAGGCTGCCAGGTCATCCAGGTGCCTCAGTTTTCTTGATGGGCTCAGCGGCCCCTTCAGGGCTAATGGTCAACAGTTCCCAGCCAGCCTGGGCCGGGCTCAGAGCACTGCGAGGCTCACTGGATCGGCCTCTGGGCCAGAGGGCAGGTGAGCAATTTAATTTAATTTAATTTAATTATTTAATTTAATTTAATTTAATTAATTCAATTTATATGCCGCCCCTCTCCGAAGACTCAGGGCGGCTGAGCAACTCCATGGGAGTCCCTGTGCTTTCTTCCCTGCCCATGACTCACGTTGCGCAGCTCCGTCCCCGTATCGATGATGTGCCTGACGCTGCCCACAGAGAAGGCTGCATCTGCCAGCCAGTGGGTGACAATGACTCGGCGTGCCCGGTTACCCAGGCTGTCCTCATACAACTTCTGGCTGTCCCTCCCCACAGCCGCATGCAGAGGCAGCACCAGCAGGGGTCCCAGGCTGGCCTCCAAGATCGCAGCCTCTGCTCGGAGGGTCTCGCAACACTCCTTGATCTCCTGGGGGAAGAGACACAAAAATGCTCTTTTCCTCCATGAGCAGAACCCGCGGCCCCACCCCCACCCCAGGAAAGATGCTCAAAAGCAGGACACGGCTGGTCCTTCAACTGGTCACAGTGCCTCTCAATCTATGCAGCATGTAGCCGATCTGTCTCTCCGGCGTCCTCAAAGGCTGGCCTCACTGGCATCTCTTGCAAAGTCCCCTAAATGCCACCCAAGGGCCCTAAGCTTCCTACCACACTGCTTTAGTGGGCAGCTTCTGCACCTTGCTGGCCTCTGCCCAAAGTCCCACCTGCTCACTGGCCATAAAGATCATCACGTCGCCAGCCTCCTTTTGTTGATGAAGCTCTAGCACGGCTTGGCAGGCAGCAGGTACATGGCCACCCGGGAGGGGGTCTCTGTAGGTCAAGTGTGGGGCTGGGCCAAGCCCTGGGATCCGCACCACAGGGGCATCCTGGCAGAAATGGCACAGCTGTTCTTCCAGGAGGGGTTCGGTCACCACCACCAAGCGCAGCTCCGGGCGTTGGTGCTGCACATCCTTTAGCAGCCCCAGCAGCAGCTCCGTGGCCACGGTGCGCTCCTGAGCCTCATCCAGCACCACCACCCCATACTGCCGCAGAAGGGGGTCTGAGGTCATCTCTTGCAACAGGACTTCGTCCAAGCAAAACCTGCAACACAGGAGTCGGGCACGTGCAGCAGCAGGCCGAAACAGGGGCACTTCTGCAGGGAGATAACCCTTTGCGTCTTATTTGGGTCTTTCTGATAAGGTTCTGAAGCCCCAACTACCCCAAAGGTCTGCATGATCTGCACCCAAAAGTTCTGACAGAAGAGGGCCACACATCTGCTTCCCCACCAGCCAGGGGCCAGAGGAGCCACCCGCCTGAACACCCCACAGAAAGAGGGAGCTGGGGAAGATGGGGGCCCCTCAGCCATGCCAGGTTCCTGTAGCCCCTTCTGAATAACTGGGGTGCCTTCACCAAAGCAAAGGTCTCCTTTGATAGATCTACGTTTTTCTGCTTA